TAATGAAAAAAAAAACAAGTTATCGATATTCGAAATCACATAGCAAATGAGGCAACCATGTGTGCATGCATTAACAGATATTTTAGAAGCAAAGACGATCCAGACAGTTGCAAAGATAATGCCAGATTTAGTATGCATGTAATTGAAGCTGATTCGCATGTACAAACAAATACTGTCACCTTCGATAGAGGGGCACTGAGCAAGAGCGCGGCTTACTGGCTGACTAACTATGTCTTCTGAGCGCTTTTTAACACTACGATTCTCCCTTCACATGGCATCGAAATGGAAACGATGGGATTGCTGTTGGCGTTCCACACGATCTTCTTTCTTTTCCCGGTAGTGGAGGAAAGCAACAACCATAAGCAGCATAGCACATACCAAAGCAATGACTGCCAAACTCTGTAAATGGATATAATGAACATGAAATCGTTGAGAAATAAAGAAAAAAGATGTGCGAAATGTCATTACCCACCTGCAAAATCAGCTGTGATGGAGTTACATACAATCGCGTCAACCAGTGCGTGCCATCTGCCTCTGGTGGTATGACAACAATTCTCGAGTTTGGTACAATCTGTTTCAACGTGTGTTGGCGGACGGCTAAGGCGTCAGAATAACGTGGCGCACCAATAGTCAGCTGGAACACCCAAGAGTATAAATCGTTTCGAGATGAAAATGTCCTCACCTCATCAACAAAATTGGGGCTTCGGCCCAGTCCAAACAAAACATAGGGCGCAGCCAGGGCTCTGTGGGTCGAGGCAGGAAGCTGGCATGAAGCGCCTTTCAAAGAGCCACCCCAGCCGTCGGACATACTAAAGCTTGCGCAGGCTCCACTCCAGCTGACACCAGACCCTAAATCAGGATTCATCTTTCTCATGTGCGCGAAGTAATGTCCAACAAAATAAAGTAGATAGAGCTACAATCAAATTTACGAAAAAAAGTCAAATCATGATGTAATTTCGAAACAGCTGAGATAGATCCGAGCAAAAACAAAGAGCAAAACTTCGAAAAAGCGAATCTATATGGTTACCACCTGCAGTTACTACGAAAAAAGCACATGAAAAGCCTACCAGGAGCTAAAAACTGCAGTTAACCATTATCAACTCACCTAACTCCTTAGATGATGGATCACATCTCTTGCCGCACACGTTTGTGAAAACTTGCACTTTGAGGAAAGTGACATCACCCTTGTCATCACAGTAGATAAAGCTGAAGCATAGAGTTACATTGAGATGAGAAGCAAAATCATAGATGAATGCTCGTAAGTACCTGAATTTAGTGTCCCCTTCAAATGGCTTGTACTCGATAAGGATGTCCAGACTTCCATCCTCCTAAAACAATCAAAAATCTTTGCAAGACCCAGAAGCAATAAAGTGAAAAAGAGATAGTTAACGGTTCTCAGAAAGCAAGTCCAACAAAAAGATAAGAAAGTAGTTTACCTTCAAGTCGAAGAAAG